TATACTGTAGTCAGGCGAGGCAAAGCGGGCGGAGGTGGGGTCATAGTGGCACCTTCCACTAGTCTAAGTAGGTCTTCGTCCAAAGATTGGACAAGTTTTGAAGAATTCTTTGTATCAAGATCCCATGATGATGCAGCGTCTGACAGATGTGATGAATGGTTTTGAAAACCGACAAGTTGAAGAACTGAGACACTTATGCAGCATATGGGAATCTTTACTGAAGAAATGTTTTGCCACATAGTGGCTTCATGTTGAGGGTACTGTTCTTAAAATGAAGATTTAAGTGAGCATATTAGTGTCAATAACACAGATCTATATGGGAGACAGTGAAAGGGTTAAAGCTACCTAAAGTTCATGCCTCAATTATGCTAACCTGGAGTTTGTGTTTTACTGGAACAGATGTTCTCAGCAAATGGCCTCCGGGCATGTCACCTTTAAACTTTTTGTTGGGGTTTGTGAAAGACTGTATTCTACAGAAACCAGCAACTGACAGTACAGTAGGGCCCCACTTATACGGCAGGTTAGGTTCCAGGCTACTGCTGGAAAGCAGACATCGCCAGAAAGCAGAATACCATTTTTTCCACTTATAAATGCACATAAATGCCAGATAAGTTTACACTAGCATATATTAAGTTAGCAATAGAACTAGGCATTAAAAACAATAAAAAGTAAAATACACACACAGTACACTCATTATTTACCTCAAAATATTCGTAGTCCTAATGTAGGGCAAAAGGTGAGTAGTATTTACTGTAAGAAGTTAGGTGTGGTAGCCCTCCTGGCCACCCCCACCTACACATAATATACTGCAACAATGCTCAAAGCTCCAGAGTGATAAAATGCATATACAGTACACTTATTACTTACCTTAAAATATTTGTAGTCTTAATGTAGGGTGAAAGGTGAAAAGTATTTATTTGTAGAAAATGGTGTGGTAAGTAGGGTAGTGTAGGGAAGCCAGCCTGGCCACCCCACCCACTATGTAAACAAACAGATGATGCATCTGGTTATGGTTCATAAACATTCATACAAACACCTTACATTGTGTACAAGTTGTCTCCACAGTGATACAGTAGAATAAATAAAGACCAACACTGCCATTCTCATGTAATTTTTAGAAGGAATGATGCTCTGACAAATTATTATTACAAGTTAATATTACAAATTATTATAATCATAAAAAAGAAGCACTAAACCCACAAGGATGTGAATTACTATATAAGAACATAAGAACGAAGGAACACTGCAGAAGGCCTACTGGCCCATGTGCGGCAGGTCCAAGTCTCCTACCGGCTTAAGCCAATGCACCCAACCTAGTCAGGTCAGGTCACATTGACTTAAGGGAGGAACATGGCAACCGACCTGGTAGCACAAGCTATCAGGTCCAACTCACACCCACCCACATCCACTCATGTATTTATCCAACCTATTTTTAAAGCTACACAATGTTCTGGCCTCTATAACTGTACTCAGGAGTTTGTTCCACTCATCCACAACTCTATTACCAAACCAGTACTTTCCTATATCCTTCCTGAATCTGAATTTTTCCAACTTAAAACCATTGCTGCGAGTCCTGTCTAGGCTAGATATTTTCAGCACACTATTTACATCCCCTTTATTTATTCCTGTCTTCCATTTATACACCTCAATCATATCCCCCCTAATTCTACGTCTTTCTAGAGAGTGCAGATTCAGGGCCCTTAGTCTATCCTCATAGGGAAGGTTTCTGATACATGGGATCAACTTTGTCATCCTCCTTTGTACATTTTCCAGAGAATTTATATCCATTCTGTAATATGGTGACCAAAACTGTGCAGCATAATCTAAATGAGGCCTAACCAAGGATGTATAGTGTTTGACTAGAGAAAATCTAATTCTTCCGACACCCCTACAAAGCCGCTTTGTAAACAAATCTTATATTTATGTCAATTTTTATTCTGTGGGTGTATGTATAATGTTTATATGTTATGTAATGTGTTTCGTATATAGTTTTGAAGAAAATATCAATGATGGATTAATGAAAATGTTTATATTAACTTAAAATAAGACATTTAATGTGCCCAAGAGAGATTATTATTACCTAGTACAGTGGACCCTCATCTAACGAATGCATCGCATAACGTTAAATCTGCCTAGCGATACATTTTTCCTCGGCTAGCACTAAAAAACTCGCTCAACGTAATCAACCATCGCTACTATTGTGGCCAAGAAAACGGCAATCAAGGAAGCCGTTCTTGCCAAAGGTGCAACTTTGTTTTCGAAACAGAGATCGCAAGTGATAAAAGATGTTGAGAGACTGTTATTGGTGTGGATAAACGAAAAACAGATAGCAGGAGATAGCATCTCTCAAGCGATCATATGTGAAAAGGCTAGGAAGTTGCATGACGATTTAATTAGAAAAATGCCTGCAACTAGTGATGATGTGAGTGAATTTAAGGCCAGCAAAGGTTGGTTTGAGAAATTTAAGAATCGTAGTGGCATACATAGTGTGATAAGGCATGGTGAGGCTGCCAGTTCGGATCACAAAGCGGCTGAAAAATATGTGCAGGAATTCAAGGAGTACATAGACAGTGAAGGACTGAAACCTGAACAAGTATTTAATTGTGACGAAACAGACCTGTTTTGGAAGAAAATGCCAAGCAGAACCTACATTACTCAGGAGGAAAAGGCACTCCTAGGACATAAGCCTATGAAAGACAGGCTTACTCTGTTGATGTGTGCCAATGCTAGTGGTGATTGCAAAGTGAAGCCTTTATTGGTGTATCACTCTGAAACTCCCAGTGTGTTCAGGAAAAACAATGTTCTCAAGGCTAATTTGTGTGTGCTGTGGAGGGCAAACAGTAAGGCATGGGTCACTAGGGACTTTTTCTATGACTGGTTACACCATGCATTTGCCTCCACTGTGAAAAATTACCTAATTGAAAAGAAATTAGACCTTAAGTGCCTCCTGGTATTAGACAATGCTCCTGGTCATCCTTCAGACGTGGCAGAGCGACTTTCTGCGGAAATGAGCTTCATTAAGGTCAAGTTTTTGCCTCCTAATACCACTCCTCTCCTGCAGCCCATGGACCAGCAGGTCATTTCCAACTTCAAGAAACTGTACACAAAAGCTATGTTTGAAAGGTGCTTTGTAGTGACCTCAGAAACTCAGTTGACTCAAAGAGTTTTGGAGAGATCACTTTAGCATCCTCAATTGTGTAAACATTATAGGTAAGGCTTGGGAGGAAGTGACTAAGAGGACCTTGAACTCTGCTTGGAAGAAACTGTGGCCAGAATGTGTAGACAAAAGGGATTTTGAAGGGTGTGAGGCTAACCCTGGGAATCCTATGCCAGTTGAGGAATCCATTGTAGCATTGGGGAAGTCCTTGGGGTTGGAGGTTAGTGGGGAGGATGTGGAAGAGTTGGTGGAGGAGGACAATGAAGAACTAACCACTGATAAGCTGCTAGATCATCTTCAACAGCAAGAGGCCACACCTGAGGAAACTGCTTCGGAGGAGGGGATAGAGAAATTGAGGAAGCTGCCTACTTCAAAGATTAAGGAAATGTGTGCAATATGGCTTAAAGTGCAAACCTTTTTTGGTGAAAATCACCCTCACACAGCTATTGCAAGCCGTGCTGGTGACTATTACACTGACAATGTTGTGAAACACAGGCCTCTATGGACAGATATGTTGTGCGACAGAGGTCCAGTGACTCTCAAGCTGGTCCTAGTGGCATTAAAAGAAGAAGGGAAGTAACCCCAGAAAAGGACTTGCCACCTCAAGTCCTAATGGAAGGGGATTTCCCTTCTAAACATTAACACCATCCACAGTCTCCCTCCTCCCATCCCATCAATCATCACCAGATCTTCAATAAAGGTAAGTGTCATGTAATTGTGCATGTCTTCTTCACTCTGTGTGTATTAAAATTAATATTTCATGTGGTAAAAATTTTTTTGGTTCATACTTTGGGGTGTCAGGAACGGATTAATTTGATTTCCATTATTTCTTATGGGGAAAATTAATTCGCCTAACGTTGAGCTCTCAGGAACAGATTAATAGCATTAGGCGAGGGTCCACTGTAGTATTACTATGGCGTCATGAGTAGAGAGACTCTTAGTGATTTTAATGTGTACCCTCACTCCAGCACAATGTGTAAGTATATTTAGGTACAGGTACACTTAAGCATAATTATCAGAGTACATATAAAATACTAGGTAGTAGGTTGGTAGACAGCAACCGCCCAGGGAGGTACTACCGTCCTGCCAAGTGAGTGTAAAACGAAAGCCTGTAATTGTTTTACACAATGGTAGGATTGCTGGTGTCTTTTTTTTCTGTCTCATGAACATGCAAGATTTCAGGTACGTCTTGCTACTTCTACTTACGCTTAGGTCACACTGCACATACATGTACAAGCGTATATATACATACCCCTCTGGGTTTTCTTCTATTTTCTTTCTAGTTCTTATTCTTGTTTATTTCCTCTTATCTCCATGAGGAAGTGGAACAGAATTCTTCCTCCGTAAGCCATGCGTGTTGTAAGAGGCGACTAAAATGCCAGGAGCAAGGGGCTAGTAACCCCTTCTCCTGTATAAATTACTAAATTTAAAAAGAGAAACTTTCATTTTTCTTTTTGGGCCACCCTGCCTTGGTGGGATATGGCCGGTTTGTTGGAAAAAAAAAAAAACATAAAATACGCAATAACTTTTAAACACTTGAAATTATGGAAAGTTTCCAGACATAATAGATGTGCTCACGGAGAATGTAAACAAACCGGGTGGGAACGCCGTAAGGGAAAACGCCATAAAGCAGAGCCCTACTGTATATGAATACTAAACTGTAATACACAAACTGCAATTATAGTTTTCTATAACTACATTTTGTTACACGTTACCATTTTGCAATACGTATAAAAAATTTAAATCAGAAAACTTTGTGGATACACTGTACATAAAGAAATGTGAGTAAAAAGTTACAGGAATACACATGTACAATGAAAAAATTAATTTTACATATTCTTACATATTTATCCTTTTCAGTGTATTTAACTTGTACACCATCAATAAACTGCAATTCATAGTCATTGAAGCCTCTCCAAGACACTTTTGCTGTAGTCTTTGTAATCGCAGATGCATACAGCTCAGCATTTATATCTAGACGAGGCAGAGGTGTGGTGGTTGGCGGCGTTGTAGCTGCAAGAGGAAATGATTTGCAAATGCAGGTATAAAATGAGGGCACAATGATACGTTTGAAATCATAGTACAGTATGTACTTGCACTGTATGTAGTACAGTATGTGAACTTGTAAAAATACATTTAACATTTAACTGACAATCACCAGAAAGATATATTCTCATTAGATAGAAAATTAGTTGCATATTGCTATATGAATAACAAATAAAAGATCAGATCATGACTAACAACCCAGCCAAAAATATACGTTGTCATTTATGTACAGTATAAGAAAGTATATAAAAGTAGGCTGAGGAAGGAACAATAGCAAATTCAAACTGTTGCAGGAATATTTTACATATAAAAGATACTGTAGTTTTACCTTCATCACTGGTGGTGTAAGTAAACACTGGTGAGGCGATAGGCTTAGTGCCCTGTACAGTGAGAACGATTTGCATAGCATATTCGGTAGAAGGCTGTAGACCTGTCAGGATGTGATCCCATTCAGACTGACTGATAATAGAGCCCATAGGTACCAACACTTCTTGGGACCATGTGCTAGGATCAGAGTTGTCCCTGTAGTAATCAAATTACCTTTTAATATTTACTATAGTCATAATTTCCTAATTTAATAAAATTATACAACAGCACTTAGTTTTGATAATAATGCACACATACATACATAGGACAGCTATCCTGGGTGACACAAAAAAATTAATCTCTACTAGTAATGCACTGTTTCTAAATTCAGGTCTATTGCTTGTTCAATATTGTTTTCTTCCTGAAATTATTTGAATATTGGCATTTGGAATATGCTACATTGCTCTTTAGGTACAAACATTAAAAAGCTCTTAAAAGATTTTTCATATTAATGATTACAAGCAAGACTAATCCTATTAGGGGTATGCTAAAATACTGGTAGGTATTAGTTAATTTTGACCACATCAATATTGGCCTAAAATTTAGTATAGGTATTAGTATCAGTCTCATAAACATGCAAGATTTCAGGTATGTCTTGCTACTTCTACTTACACTAAGGTCACACTACACATACATGTACAAGCATATATATACACACACCCCTCTGGGTTTTCTTCTATTTTCTTTCCAGTTCTTATTCTTGTTTATTTCCTCTTATCTCCATGGGGAAGTGGAGCAGAATTCTTCCTTCATAAGCCATGCGTGTTGTAAGAGGCGACTACAATGCCGGGAGCAAGGGGCTAGTAACCCCTTCTCCTGTATAAATTACTAAATTTAAAAAGAGAAACTTTTGTTTCTCTTTTTGAGCCACCCTGCCTTGGTAGGATATGGCCAGTTTGTTGGAAAAAAAAAAAATGAATATCAGTGGATATCAGCTAATCCTGATGGTACTGGCCTAAAACTGAGTACTGGTATTGCCAAAATTTTGGTATCTTCCCATTCCTACATCAGACAACCCTTCAATTTAGCCTGATGGGGGGCTACTGATATCTCAGCTGTGTAAATACTATAATTTTTAAATTTTTTTCTAGTTTATCAATTAGTATCAATTATTGGTGGTATTAGTGTCTCATATAGAGACTACAAATGCATTTAATTTGTAACTTTTGTAAACATTTAATAAACAAAATTATTGCATGGTTACTGATATTTCTTGTTAACTTACTATAATTAATCCTTTCAGGGTCGAGAGACCCTCTCCAAAACTCGTTCTCAGGGTTGAAAATTTTTCAGAAAAAAAAAATTATTTTTCTTATGAAATGATAGGGAATCTTTTCCCGATCTTAATGACACCAAAAGTATGAAATTTGATGGAAAACTTACAGAATTATGCTCTCGCAAAGTTAGCGGTCTCGAAGATGTTTACGCATCGGCGATTTCACCCATTTTGAGACCTATTTTTGGCCAATTTCAGTGTATTAGTCGACAAAAATCATACCTATATCACTAGAACTCCATTTTTTCTATCGAAAGATTACAAGAAACCACCCATTTACCGACTCAAGTATCCAATAAAGTGGTCAGAAAATGGCAATTTTGCCAATTTCACACAAATTTCAGAAGATGCCAATTTCCAAATAGGGTCGAGAATAAGCAAGACAGACATTCCTGGCACTAAAATAACATTTCCTCTATTCATTAGTCATGTCCCCAGGTCCCTCTTACATCTCTTTTGCTTTCCACTTTGAATTTTTATTCTCACAAAAAATAGAAGATTTACTGTTATGCAGACTACTGCATTAGTATAGAAATGGTATAAATAATATCAGTGCACTTGTGAAAGAATATTAGACTCACCAGTTGATGTGTATTGGATGCTTGGCATGATTTGTTTACTTTTGAAATTTGGTAAAAATCGAACATTTCTGCTAATTTGAGCTCAATTTCAAGGTACTTTTCATTACGAAACCAATCAAAAACATCTCAATTTCTATAATATGTCTTTCATTCTATAAAATGAGACCAGGAAAGCTAGAATACAACCATAAATACCATATGAAAATACACTGCAAAGTCACTGTTTTAAACCAAAAACATGGTCAGAGTTTTTTTTTTTCTCATTATGCACCGAGTGCTGCAGGATTTTTTTTATACTGTGCACACTGACCACATAGACCCATTCTTTCATATGTAGGCCTACCAGCTTTCTCTCACTAGATTTGAAGGCGCTAGAATTTAGGCATTCTAGTACGTCAATAATCCTGGTGCATAAGCCGCACTAGTATGTCAGAAACCCTGAAAGGGTTAAAACAAAGGTTCCTAATAATTTTCTATTTCAATCCTGTGGCGCACATTTCACTATATAAAAAACAGAGGGCATGACACCAGCTTGATCTAAGCTATCACCTATCTATGTGATCACAATAGGAAGTCATTCGAGTTATCTAAATATCACATTATACTGAATAACCTTGTCAGCTGAATCACTCATATCTTATTATAATTTATTATTCTTAAACAGCGGAGGTTCAGTGGATCATGTGAATGTTACAGTATATACACACCTCTACAAAGACAAATAGGGAATTAGTTGTGATGAGTGTGTTTTCCTTTGGATCACCCCCAGATAAGAAATATATATATTTTTTAACATAATTGCTATCTCCTGCCAAGGAAGGGTGACCCAAAAAAGATAACACATTCATCAACATTAGCTCAACTGTTGTGTTTTAAGGACTCTCTACCAATGACATGAAGATCTGCTCGGTGAAAGCCCTAACCTGGATACATTCCCTCTATTTGGTGTGGTCTATGATTACAAAGAGACGAATGTAGAATGAGAGACACGTGTCCTGAGGACTGGCCGACATGCAATGGGTAGGGATTGGTGAGGCCTACAGTTGCCTACCACCTTGAGGGGTACCACTCATAGAGGATCACTAGGTTGTGGCATGTCCCAGGGTGGTCCCTGGCACAGGCAAGGCATTTTGTATGCACTTTGTGTTTCAGGGTGAGGTTACACACACCCTTAACTATCTTCTGCTAACTAGTACCAACTACCTCATATATTTTTTTTTCTACTTTTTTTATTCTTTTGCTACCTTAACTTGTATATTTTATCTTGTCAATTTAAATCTAGTTATACTCTAATTCTTGTAAACAACTTATATAACACCTTAGTGCAATTACAATTGAGAGTCTTGTGCCTTTTTTATATTATTAGATTAAACTCAGTTGTCAATACCAAATTCATAATATTAGACCATATTGCAATTACTAGTGAGAGACTGGTGCTATTTTTAATTTGTATTTTTATATTATTAGATTAAATCTAGTTGTACTATAGCTCATTCTAGCTCAAAACATAGACTCCACAAAAGTCATTATATTAGACCTTAGTGCAATTATTTGATTACCACTTTATTGTTCACCACAACTTATATTAGTCCTTTTTATATTATAATTTTATATTATAATTCTAACTTTAAAGAATTACCTTTAAAGTACTACCTACTATCATATTCCCAAGCTCCATTATTTGATCATCACTTTATTTGTTCACCACAAATTTTTTAGTCCCTTTTATATTGTCTCCTTTATTTTAGCTTTAAAAAACTACCTTAGCTCATTATTTTTTACATTTGTTAAATAATTCAGGTGCTATTTTTTTAGCTTTAGAATATTTACTTTGTTTTATACTTAATTCTAACTATAGATTCACTACAAATCTTATGATTACAAGCATTGATCCTGATACCAACCTCTTATTTAATGACTTAAATGATTCAAACAGTTTTCTGTAATTACTACACAGCAGAACAATCAAAGACACTTCTCAGAGCCCAAAAACAACATAACTATCTTTAACTACAATATCAGATCTTTAAGCAAGCATTACGATGACCTCCTAGCATTACTAAATTCCTTGATGCCAATATGTCCATCATTACACTAACTGAACTGGCTAAAGCCTGATACTACAGATGTCTATACCATTCCTGGTTTTCACAGCCATACACAACTGTAGGCCAGACCAACAAGGGGGTGGCACAGCTATATACTACTCAGACCAACTAGAATTTATCACTAATACTTGCACAAGGGATGAACATGGGGAATATATAATAGCTAAATTCAAATCCAAATACCTACAAAAACCTCTCACAGTGATAAACATCTACAGAGTTCCACAATCAAACATTAGCCAATTTAGTCAAAACCTAGGAAGTATGATAACTGATGCCGCATGAACAAAGATCACTTACTACTCTCAGGTGACTTCAATATAAATCTCCTGCAAGACCAGGACCCACACGTAACTGAATTCACAAAAACAATGAGTAACTGCATGTTGCTACCAACAGTAACAAAACCCACAAGAGTTACGGAGACTAGTGTTTCCCTACTTGACCACATCTGGACCAACACCATATCCCTTTAAATCAGGCATAATTACAGATAATGCCACAGACCACTACCCCACTTTCCTCATAACAACTCTTGGTAAAATACCCCAAGACACTACTAAAGTCACCTTCAGACTTCACAATTGAGGCAGCCATTAATAACTTCACAGCAGCAGTAACAAACATTGACTGGCACACTGAGCTAGAAATCTATACAGATATTGACTAATGTTTTAATAATTTTCTAAAAAAGACCCAATACCTCTATAACAAGCACTGCCTAAAAAAACTAAACAGATGAAGCAAGAGACTGAACAGTCCCTGGCTAAAATCCCGCATTCACCCCCAAAAAAAACCCCCCAAAAAAAACAAAAAAAAAAAAAAAAACCCCCCCCAAAAAAAAACCCCAAAAAAAACCCCCAAAAACCCCCCAAAAAAAATTTGGAAAAAAAAAAAAAAAACCCCCCCCCCCCCCCCAAAAAAAAACCCCCCCAAAAAAAAAAACCCCAAAAAAAAAAAAAAAAAAAACCCCCCAAAAAAAAAAAAACCCCAACCAAAAAAAAAAAAAACCCCCCCCCCCAAAACCCCAAAAAAAAAAAAAAAAAACCCCAAAAAAAAAAAAATAAAAAAAAAAAAAACCAAAACCCCCAAAAAAACCCCCCCCCCAAAAAAAAAAAAAAAAAACCCAAAAACCCCCAAAAAAAAAAAAACCCCCAAAAAAAAAAACCCAAAAAAAAAAACCCCAAAAAC